ACCATCTAATTAGCTTTCTAGAACTTGATAGGCGATTGCTACGCGTATATACAGTAGGTATGTAAAGAACACAGGTATATGGAAATCTAGATTGAATTCAATGACTTATTCAGCGAAACACCTGCGCATGCAATCTTTTCTAGGAAATTCTTATCATTTTACAATTCAAAATGACGATTCGTGAGAAATTTTTCTAAAACAATATATGTATGGATTATTGACATACTTGATGAATTTTATATCAAATTTGAAGAAATGAAGGTTTAAGGAGTATTTTTTTACGTATTATTGGTTAATTTTAGTTGCTAGATGAAGCTCATCCAACATTTTAGTACATTTCTGATAAATCTGTAGCTGCAAACACTTACGCGTACGTACGCGTACTTATAAAGCAGCCACTAATAAAAAAGCCTCTAAGTCACTAATTAACAAATGTAGACGTTGTGACATATTCAATCTTCTTTTTATCGCAATTCTTTTGTTTAGATTTAAGCATTGCTGTTACTACGTCAATTCTTATACATGATCATTCTAGACTTGACTTCCAAGCGTTTCACTTCTCTCAAACAGAGCACTCTCTGCAAACGCAATACTGTTCAGCCCAATTTTCCTCTGTGTGTATTCCTCAATGCAAGCGACGTCAAATGGCGTACGCCGCGACCCCACGCATCGCACGTCCTATTTTTGCTGAGCAGATTGGCGTAATCGCAGACGTCGACGCGCCAACCGTTAGTTACGACCACTCCACTTTAAACCTCATCCATTTTAATTTAACAAAAGTGCCGGCCGATAGCGCGGAGGAAGCACTCATTTCCGTCGGCAACTTGCCTCTGAGTCACGTCTCCCTTCGACAAAAAATCACCCCAAATTCTTACTTTCCATTTTGCGCGCCGAGCTCATAATTTATATAAGTTGAATATCGAAGAACACGTGCAACTTGACTATACAATGTGAATAAAAACTTACACCTGATTAAACCCGAAAATGATTACTTCAATTCTCGAAGAAACAATACTTATTTTGAAATGGTAGGCACTAAAGGCCAATCATCTGTTTTAAATCAATGAATTTACAGAAATGTGTTTTCCCCAAGCACCACTTTAGGTCTCTAAACATCATCAACATTACGCAAGAATGATAAACAATTGTCTGAATGTCATCACGTTCAAAGGAAGGACGTCCGAATTAAAAAAACATCGCGACAAGTGACACAATGAAATAATCACGGTCGTGCAGTTTTGGGCGTGTATTGTAATTATTGGAAGTTGCATAACGGTGCTCCATTAACGTTAACCCTCGTCTGTGACGTCACGTCACCTAATGCTATTTGGCCGGCGACCGCGTCGCACCGTCTGTCTCCCAATTCCAGGGCTGACATCACTTGAAAATTAGAACGATAAACGATTTTCATTCATGCGGTAATGTTGTATTTTCGTTACACCAACGACTACGACGCACTTTATAGAAGCTAGTTACAATATTTAATAGTATATTTATAGATTTTTTATTTATATACTTGGTAATCTCATTCACACTTCCGTGCAACATTCTTAATAAGGAATTGGATGTTTCACTTCAGCATTTTTGTATTGTCAAATAGTCCTACAAATGCTGAATATGAAACTTTAATCAGGCATCTATTGAGAGAACAACTATTTATTATCTTTCATAATTATTTAAAATATATTTAAAAATTTAGTAGTAAATGTTTTAGGAAACCTACCAATTTTAATGTGGTATTATATAAGGTTTAATATGGTCGTAGGCCAAATCAGGGTTAAAGAGTAAAGGATTTAGCGACAAAAAAATGCAGATGAAAAGATACAAGATTATGTTACAAGATTATATAATTTATTAAATTATATAATGTTTTTGGCTATTATTGCAATTATGCTAATTGTATGTACATATTATTATTAGAACTATAAATATAAATAAATAAAGTCGTATTTGTATCACACTAGTAGGTGCATGGCTCATATGTGTAGGAATATTATAATTGTACCTTTTCCTACTTTGACTTCTTGCAAATATTTGTAATGTGATTTATATGTATATGAACTTCGATTTAAAAAAGTGGTGTTTAATTTTTAAAGAAAAAAAACTACAACCTTTTAGAACTGAGCCTCAGATTTCTGTTGCGTGGTCATTTGTGCTTTCTAATAGGCAAGAATGTGATCAGCCTAACGACTATTCGGGTCCAAGACATTCCGGTTTCCTCATAATGTTTTCCTTCACAGACACAGACAAAACGTCCATTGATGCACAGTCTGGAGTCGAAGCGACAACCTCAGGAAAGAGAGAGAAGAATATTTTTAAAAGGAAGTAATTTTTTTATAATTAAATGTATTATGTGTCAAAATATAGCTTAGGAAATTACAAGCCCTGATTCACATGCACCTTGAACTGACCTTACTATACCTGAGTACTGACTTCGACTGCAGTGTTTGATACACATCATACAACTTATAACGTAAAATTGTAGTCTTAGTAAGTTTTTAATACTCAATTAAACTAGGTGCTATTGGGTTCATAATTGCTATTTTATGTAGAGCATTAAATGTTTATATGTAAGAAATTCTGTTGTGTCTTTTAACCCAAAATAAATAATGTGACGCCGACCACAGAATCTTCTACTGAGAAAGCTACCGTCCCGTACGAAGTTTTTAAATTCTTTAGATCAATATAGTTTATTGCTCAGTTGAATTTATTCGTTAAAAACCATCAAATCTTTTCTCTTTGCTATAGTATAGATATAGATTCACGAATTGATTGATTGATGAAAACGCCGCATTTGTATCTAGGCTAGTTGGTAATGAGTGAATTGTTTAGACACTTATATAGCAAGTGTATACAAAGCTTAAAAAATATACGGGCTGATTGAAGTCTCGTCTCAAGATAGCAGACATATTCAGACAATAGAGTTCACAAAGCAATATACCTACTTATACAATACAGGTTGGCCTTGCCCTTGAATGCCGCCGTGTGACCTCCAGAGTCATTCTCACCCCCAAACTCACCCCTACACCCACTTGATAAATGAGCCTTGTAATCATCTTATATACAGGTTATGTATACTTTTAGGTTCGAACATTCTTATTATATTATTTTAAAAATTTTGTAATCATTAGAACGTTATATCTTCTTATTGCATTACAATAATCTATCATTGTGACATAGATATTTATTACAAAGACGTAAATTTCATTATTATTATCTTAACTACCAATTTCATAATTAAAATATTATATTTGATAATATTGAAATATTTAAATATATTATTAAATATGATATTTTAATTATGAAATTGGTAGTTAAGATAGATAGATTGGTCCTTACATATAAAATTGGCGTTTTGTATGGCAGTAACAAAAAGTAGATTTTTTTTTAAATGGAATATACTTTATTAATCAAAGTACACTTTTGCCATCTTATAGGTAGATCATTGATCCCTTTACTAAAAAAACATTCGATCGGGAATCAATAAAATCTTCGAAGGTGGTTGCGACTGCCCCATCAGAGTTGAATTTTGTACCATGCAAGAAATTATCCAAATTCGTAATCTGTTGGAGCAAGGTCCGGGGTACTCCCCGGATGTCTTAGACATTCCAATGGAAGCTCCTCTAATTTGGTAGCAGTCTGTTGTGTCGTGTCAAGCGTTGTCGTGAAGAAGCAGTGGCCTAGAACGATTGACCAGCCTTGGTTGCTGAGCAGCTAGCTTTTCCATCATGGTTTGCAGTTGCTGACAATAGACATCTGCCGTGATCATGTGGCCAGATTTAAGAAAGTTATCGTGAACGTCCCACTAGTAACTTTTCGCCAATTTCAATTCTGCTAGTCAATTTTCGCTTGGGGCACGATTTGGCTGGTTCGGCTGGATTCAGCCAATGCGATGAGTGCTTCCGATTATCGTACAGGATCCAATTTTCATCACAGGTAATAATTCGATTTAAAATCCCTTCATTATTGTGCCGGTTTAGTAAGCAGCAGTCGACGCGCGTTTGTCGATATGCTTCACTCAATTTGCTTCAAGTGGATTAATACAGTTTTATCATTAACACCGCAGCCTGCGGCTAACTCAGACGTAGTTTGCGATGGATCCGCTTCAACAATATCCTTCAATTCTTCGTTATCAACTTTGGTCTCCGGCTGTCCACGGGGCTTGTTCTGCAGGTCGAAATTTCCAGAACGAAAACGTTGGAACCATAAACGCACTGTGTTTTCTATTGCGACACCGCCGTCATACACATCTTTCGAGCCGTTTCTGCAGCACTAGTGGAACTCGTACTCGTAAATTACGCCATATTTTATGTTTTCCATTTTTTAGAGCAACGCAAAGAAAAAAATTAAGCGGGAAAATGAAATTAATCACGAAAAAAATAGCTGTAAAAATTTGACTTTGGAATTCTTAACCAAAGAGGAGATATTTGAGGTCAAAGTGGCCAGTAGTATGACAAAACCTCAATTTGATACATATACGTATGAAATAAAAAAGTATAAAAAATACTAACGTATGAAATTGACATTTTTGACAATCCAATATTAAAACTGGTATCCTAAAGACTAGGCTAAAGCGTGCGACTCTTATCGTCATCCTCATCCTCATCCTGAGGTCATAGGTTTGAATCCCGTCTGAGAACCAATGGACTCTTTATCAGTCTATGTAAAGGAAAACATCGTGAGGAAACCGGCATGTTTTAGACCCAAGCTGTTAGCGGCATGTGCCAAGCGCAGAAGACTGATCATTTGCCTACTACATTGTTACTAATTATTCCATATGTGTAAATTTATTTCTAATTTTCTGTAAAATAATAAGTTGAAGGAATTTTGCGTCGTCAATCATGGACACGTGTAACAATTATGGTATTACATCAACATAAATAACCAACGTTTTATGACATGTTATAAATACTAAAATTGTCGGGATTCCGAATACTAAATCTATTATAAATAGGCCGGGAACATTAATTTTATTCATACGCACATATGTAACATTCATAATGTCTGTAATAATTATAAGAACACTGTGTTTCGCTATTATAGCTGTTCAGGTAAAATTTTTCATATTGTGTTAGAACAGCTTTCTTACTAACTTAGGTTAAGTTAAAGTAAATTGTAAAGTAAAGTAATTTGTTTTAATAAATGAAAACTATAACTTAGTAGATCCAGTATTTAAGCTTAAATTGTTGTAATTGTTTTTTTTTTTCTTTCACGTTTTAATTAAGGGTTCAGTAAATGGACGATATATTGGGAAAGATTATTTCTTTAACTATATTTTGGATAATCTTACGCCCCAAAATGAAGCGTTCTGGCCTAGTGGTAAGTTTAAGAAAAATAAATAGCTTTAAGTTTTAAATAACTTATAACAATACCTCTTATTTTTAAGGAAACTTCAACCCAGAAAGTCCCTGTATAGACAAAAGCTCATTTGTAAGAAAAGATCTTGAAGCAATCGTTGATTATATGTACGAAGAATTAAAGTTACACGAAAGTATTTCCAAAGCATATCTTCCCAAAGCTAATGAAATACAAAAGAAATATATAAATCAACTTGAAACTTTCGATGAATGGTTTAAAGGCCAGCCGGAACATCTGAAGCATATTATCGAAAGCCTGACGGACAGGCGTAATTTTTTAGAACCGCAAATAAAAAAAGTCGGTAATACATTGAAGAATTATGACTCTTTGAAAAAACATATAGATCGACAACAACATGAATTAGATACACTGACATTAAAATTTAAACGTTTTAAAAATATATGCCACGCAAACTGTCCTGGTATGTACAAATGTAATTAATTTAATTTGTATAGGAATCTGGGTGAATCTTATTGCCCGATAGCTTAAAACTATTGTTGGTATAAACCACTATATAGAAGTGCAACAATATTTTATATAAGTACATTTTAAATGTTATTTTTCAGGTATTGTTACAAGATTGAGTGCTCAAAAGGAACACTCATTATACTATTGTGGAACTGCTGCAGAAATTAAAAACATTTCTACGGCTGAATTAATGACATACGTTAATACCATTTTAAAGCCTGACTTATTAAAGGAATTAACGAGTTTTGATGCAAAATATGAAAAGGACATAGATACTCTAGAAGAAAATATCAAAGATATAGCTTTGAAGGATTATGGTCGACTATTAGTAGATATACTTCGTTTCCATGATGAGTACAATCATTATTATAAATTATTTGACGTTGATATTGAGTCTTACAAGAATGAAGTTGATGAAAAACTTTTATTTATGGATGGGAAACTGGCACAATTACATGCAGCTACAGAAAAGTATAGGAAATATTGTTTGCAGTGTGATGAAAACTGTAAGTCTATTTTCTGAGATATAATCTCTTTCCCAATTAGAATAATTTAATTTAAATTTCTTGCAACCTTTCAGCTCCAATACTCTTTTCATGGAAACACATAACGGACATTAACGAGAGAAGCAACAGCGGCAATTTGGAGCCACAACATAATTTATTGAATGATGTTATCAAGTCCAAAATAGAAAAAATTCACCAGCAGTCACTTAGTGACATTGAGAATATATTTTCCGAATTAGACGTAAAAATTGATGAAATTAAGCAACGTAATACAAATGTCACTAACTTTAAACCTATACAAGAAGATATCAAGAAAGATTTTCGTAAAGAAAAACAATTATTTAATGAACTTAAAAGTGTGGTCTCGAAGGAAAGTATTGAAAATTTCTTATCGCTCGACAACGAAGCTTCTAAGTTAGATGTAAGCATTGGCGATACTTTAGGAGAAGTTAAAAAGCTGATATTATGATTTTGCCTGTACGTAATTTAAGTTATTATTAAATGTAAGGCTTTGCTAGTAATTCGAGCAATACACATCAAGCATATTAACCAAAAAAGTTAAGTGCAATGAATAATACATGTTTGATGCAAATAAATGTCAGAATTTAATGAAAAATCACGTCTCATTTTTATTTCCAAAATAATTTTTGAAATTGCTTTGGCCCCTTTAAAATGAATCGTTATGATGCATTTATAATGTAGGGTGAGCGACCGACGGCAGCCAATTACCAATACAGCGCTGCTCGATAAATCTGAATTGGTAGGTATTGTGCGCGGGCGCATACAAAAGTGTTACTTATTGGAAATTGAATTCATGAAAGAAAAAATAGTAGCGCGTTGACCTATAATGTCATACCCAAATATTCGGCAAATTATAGCTTAAAACACAAGTAGCGGTTCAGTTTTTTACCTACTTTGTTGAATGTGCTTAAAATGTTTACTTAAATTCGCTTTTATTGTTATATAATAAGACTTCTCTTACATATATCTTAATAGTCGTTGTAGATTGTTGTCTAATTGTTTGCTTTACTTCACAAGGACACAATTTTGAAAGGAACTAATTGTTTTCTGCGCCGGTTCAGATGAGGATTTACAATTTTAAACGGTAACAATAAAGCCGTTCTTTCAAGTTTTAACAAAACTGTCTGCATTTGTACGGTCTGCAGACTGTCCAAAATGCATGAAGCGATAAATTTATCCGGTCTGGCAGACATGAATGTGAAATTAAACGTTTATGGAGGCCTTAAACCGAAGCGACATTGGTTGCACTGCGACGGCCGACCGCGCCGCTTGAATAACGAACATTGTGCCAATCTCTTCATTTGTTAATTATATATTGCAACATTCCTATATTTTTGTACTCTTGTAATATATGCACGCTTTACTGTTAATCTTATCATATACACCAACATTATAAGGATCATAAATGTCCTTAATCTAATATATAAAATTCTCGTGTCACAATGTTCGTTCCCATACTCCGAAACGGCTCAACCGATTCTTATGAATTTTTTTATGCATATTCAGTGAGTCTGAGAATCGGCTACTATCTTTCTTTCAAACCCCTAAATGTTAAGGATGTTTATTTTTATTTTTTAGAAACAATTTTTTGTTTTTATTTTTTATGATACAGCATACAAAAATACATACAACCCTTAATTTTCACCTCTCTACGATTAACCCCTATTTTTTTTGTTAATCACAATGTTATGACTCGAACTCTGAGGTTTATATAGAGCAAAATTTATACAGAAAAACCCAAAAAGTTTTCATTCCGGAAAACCGAACAGTCTCTGGGGTAGCATAGAAAAATGTTCCATGTTGGTATGTACTAAAAAGGTAGGCTAAGTAAAATCAAATTAAGGAGAAACGAAGTTAGTGGAGGCAGCTAGTAATCTATATTATTCACACAACCAAATATTTTTAGGATACACGGGATTGCTACAACGGAGTATAATTAAATTTAAAACCAATTGTGTAATACGTGTTACAGTAATAAGAAAAAAGTAATTTGTGGTAACACGGAGTGGGTCGGTCCGCCGCTGGGTGCAGGGTGCATCCACCGTCTGTCGGCAAGGGCATGCATCGTCCTTGCGTCGCCCGCTTTGACCTCAGCTTGTCCTACGGCCGACCGGGACGTACACCTCTACTGAATAACTCCTTACCTCATCGAAACCTAAAATGTAGGTAATATACTTTCCAAACTTTTTCTATGAAACTGGCAGACTCCTGTGCTTTACGTCTGTTCGTAGACGTTTTCACTGGTGTTACGTTTTAGTTAATGGACATGGTAGCTCCTTGATGACGATACGATATTTTTGTAATGTTATACAACTTCTCTAATATTACAAATTATTATTTCAATACAAATATACTTGGAAAGAGATGTGCAGTTAGTTTTTGTGTTTATTGTTTAGATTGTAATGTTTGTATTATAATTCCCGTTGGTAAATATTGTTAAATAAATAAATGATTAAAAATAGCACATTATACAGCCTCTAAGTTTTAGAAGACTTAATAACCTCCATTTTATAATTAACAATAATTATAAATTAATAAGTCTGTGTGAAATAAGAGATTTTGTTAAAATAATGAGACAAGAGATTTCTTAAACTGCGATAAACTTGAAATTTGACTTTTACAACAACCTTTACCTGCTGTATACAATTTTATTGTTCTCAAATGCTGAATCATTTCCAAAGGACAGCTGAAGGTCTACGGACACTGCACCTTACCACAAAGAACTTGTATCTAGTCGACAATTGAAAATGGAACAAAATAGAGATAGCTCTTAAAATTATTGCGATAGCTCATTCGAACCGAAGAGCCTAGAAAAATGTGCTAAAAGCGTGTATTAGCACATAAAAAATTGCAAAAGTTATAGACCATTAAAGATGAAAAAAAATGATTAGTTTTTGCCAATATTTAATAAACTATTAATATTTAAGAAATTTCAAATAAAGATTCTGAAAGAGGAGGAAATTTCCAATAAAAAACTCTCAGCTTCCCGGAACTCTATTCCATTATTTATAACTTTAATTTAACGCTGAAAATAGGTCTGTCGTGACATTTTTAAGGGTTCGCTTCACGCGTGGCGTCAAAAGCGACTACGGCACATTAATTAATTTATTTTAAAGGTATTGAATACTTTTTTTAAATTTGAAAAAAATTATGGTGTGTTCTGAACACTATAATTAAATTTATTCCCGTTGGAAATTTTACTTATCAAAGTTAATTTTTCAACAAGTTAAATAATTGTTAACTTAACCGAAATTTTCTCGAACGACCGTCATTAATTGCAAAGTGAAAAAAAATGTTTTAATAATGGTCGTAAAATATATTCGCCAATCTCGTGACCTTTCCTTACCATACATACCTTAACAAGACTCGTGCCATAAAAGTTAAAGAAATATTTATACTTTGTTTATAACAATTTTTTTACTTAAACAAAAACTTAAAAATCCAAGTAATGTTGTTAAAAATTTTTTTTTTCTAAATCATCATATTATCGTTTTTATATTAATACAAGATATTTATTGATTTGCAAAAAAAAATTTCGCCGTTTGTTGATAATTTTTTTTAAACAAATTGATTAAATCAATTGTTTTAAAAAAAAATTTCACTACTTTATTACATTACAAATATTAAATGATTGTTTAAAAAAAAAAATTTCCTTAATAACATATTTTAATTGTTTATAATCGTTTTTATATTTCTATTGTTTAAATAATTAGTTAAGAAATTTTTTTTTCTAAAAATCATAATTGACAGTCCTCTATAAAGTAACAAAAAATTTTTTTTTAATCAACAATTCTTTATTGTTTATTAACTTACCAATTTGTTATAAACAAATGTTCAACTTTTTTATATTTTTTTCTAAAACTTCTAAAATTAACAAAAACAAACATATATAACAAAGTCTATAAAAAAAAGAAAAATTTTTTTTAATAAAAGTAATATTCATGATAATCAAAAAATTTAAAAAAATGTTTTTCTATATTTTGTTATATATGGTTGTTTTTGTTAATTTTAGAAGTTTTAGAAAAAAATATAAAAAGTTGAACATTTGTTTATAACAAATTGGTAAGTTAATAAACAATAGAATTGTTGATTAAAAAAATTTTTTTCTGTTACTTTATAGAGGATTGTGAATTATGATTTTTTAAAAAAAAATTTCTTAACTAATTATTTAAACAATAGAAATATAAAAAAACGATTATAAACAATTAAAATATGTTATTAAGGAAATTTTTTTTTTAAACAATCATAATATTTGTAATGTAATAAAGTTGAGAAATTTTTTTTTTTAAAACAATTGATTTAATCAATTTGTTTAAAAAAAATTATCAACAAAATGTGAGGGAAATTTTTTTTTGCAAATCAATAAATATCTTGTATTAAATAAAAACGATAATATGATGATTTAGAAAAAAAAAATTTTTTAACAACATTACTTGGATTTTTAAGTTTTTGTTTAAGTAAAAAAATTGTTATAAACAAAGTATAAATATTTCCTTAACTTTTATGGCACGATCTTGTTAAGTATGTATGTAAGAAAGGCCTCTACGAAGCGAAATATTTTACTACGACCATTATTAAAACCTTTTTTTTCACTTACAATTAAGACGGTCGTTCGAGAAAATTTCGTTAGTTAACAATTATTTAACCTTGTTGAAAAATTAACTTTAAGTAAAATTTCCAACGGGAATAAATTAATTATAGTGTTCAGAACACACCATAATTTTTTCAAATTTAAAAAAAATATTCAATACCCTTAAATAAATTAATTAATGTGCCGTAGTCGCTTTTGACGCCACGCGCGAAGTCCTAAAAATGTCACGCACAGACCTATTTTCAGCGTTAAATTAAAGTTATAAATAATGGAGATAGAGTTCCGGGAGCTGAGAGTTTTTTATTGGAAATTTCCTCCTCTTTCAGAATCTTTATTTGAAATTTCTTAAATATTAATAGTTTATTAAATATTGGCAAAAAACTAAATTCCATTTTTTTTTATCTTTAATGGTCTATAACTTTTCAATTTTTATGGGCTAATACAACGCCTTTTAGCACATTTTCTCTAGGCGTCATTCCGGTTCGGATGAGCATGAGCTATCGCACATAATTTTAAGAGCAGTATCTCTATTTTGTTCCATTTTCAACTTGTCGACTAGACTATTGACTGTTTGTACTTACCTGACGCACACTTGATCTCACATTAAACGAAAAACCTTATTTAATTACCTTAATGAAAATATATTACATGTAAAAAGGCTTTATTACTTTCTGTATGTAACTTACATTTATTTGTTTTTTGTATTAAATTTATAACAATCTTAATAAATGCTATAATACAAATACCTACTTCTATGTGGATTAACTATAATTAATATCGACTTCTTTTTATAACTATAACTAGTGGACCCCACAGACGTTGTCCTGCATGATATTTAAAGGGGTTTGTTTTTTAAA